TCTTTAAAATAATTTTGTTTTCTATACCTTGTATTAGAATATTTGAGAAATATTTTCAGTTCAACTGAAATTTATTTGTATAACGCTTTTTGCAATAAATATTGTTTCTATTCTTTGTAAAAAAAAAAAATTCTACAGCCCCCCCTAAAATCCCTTAGATTACCCTGGTTTGAAAAGCACTGTTTTAGAACAATTTGTACATGTATAGATAGACCAATATGCCACTTGTCTGTCCTTAGTGTATTTGGTGTGAGGAGTTTGAGACATAAACATGACTTTCTTAGTTATAAAAAGCATGCCACATGAATTCATTTTCACAAAATGAATGATGGCTGTACAGAAAGGCATGCTAGTGTTCTTCTAGTTGAAAGCAGTACAATTCTGGAAAAGGGATTCAAATCAACTAACTTTATTGTATGTTATTAACCGATTTAAACTTGTTTTCCTCTCTGTGTGATTGGCTAGTGGAAAAAAACGCAAGCCTGCGTGGTGTGACAGGATTCTCTGGAGAGTGAAGCCCAAGTCCTCACTGTCAGAGGACGCTAATGAAGACGGTCAAAATCAAGAGGATCCAAAGAAACAACTGGAGGAGCAACATAAAGACGAGTTCCCTCTAAAACTGAGCCAGGAGTTTTACACAAGTAAACTAGAGTACGGCATCAGCGACCATAAGCCCGTCATCGGCATCTTCCGCTTTGAGGTGGGGAGGAGTTTGGTTAACATAATAGCCATTATTGTTCTATAAAATACTACAAGAATGACTATTTATTTATCTGACACCAGTTGAGAAAGATATATGAGACGCCATTGCTGCAGGTGTGCGCTGAGGGAGAATGGAGTGCCGACTTTGATGCCCTCATAACCTACAGCCTTCCCCAGTCCTTTCCCTCCAGTGCCTGGGACTGGATCGGTTTATATAAGGTAAGAGAGGTTCCCAAAATGTGGTCTGTTCTGATAAGGTCACAGACCAAAAATAATCAATATAATCGTGTATGGTTACAGTAGTGATACTAAAATACAGTATTGTGAACTAATGTTATCCAGGGTGTTGTTAATATAGACCACGTGCTTGTCACTCCACAGGTTGGTTTTAAAAGCGTTTCAGACTATATCACGTACACCTGGGTGAAGGATGACCAGGTGTCTTTCACTGATGAGCTCTTTCAAGTATGCAACATTTGCAGTCTATGTTGCTTTAAAACTGTCAAATAATTTGTTTTTGTCACATAAGCAACCAAGCAGTAAATGATATTTTCTCTGATCACAGGTTTATGTGAACAAAGATGAAATCCCTGTTCTTGGGGGAGAATGTGTGCTGTGCTATTACAGCAGCAACTTGCAGTGCATTGTGGGTATTAGTCAACCTTTTAAGGTGAGTAATATTTTACTTCTATATTTCATGCATACAT